TCAGCCTCGCCCCAAGCCTTTGTCAAGAGCGCTTCGTGGCCTTGACAGACGGGTAGTGTACCTTACTAAAATTGGACATAGACGCTTTTTGAAGGTACAAGGTAGCCCTAAATCCGAAACTCTCTCCCTTTCAAGGTTACTTTAGGCAACTTGACTTGAAGGCTCACGGTACTTATTAACTGATTATAACTGTACTTAGTTATAGCTGTACTTATATCCATATTAGGGCACTTGACGACCGCCGAAGCCTCCGCAGCCGAGGCGCGAAAGCAGCTGGCAGCGGCTGAGAGCACGAAGCGCTCCTTGACGGAAGGCCCATCCCCTGCTTGCCTAATGGGGAGATCTCGGGTTTAGGGCTTAGGGTTTAGGGTTTAGGTGAACGTGCTGCATCACGAGGCCTGTTGCAAAAAGGGTGAACGTAATGTCTAAACATGTAGGGTTTAATTGGGGTTGTGCGGGTTTGGGAGGTTTTGGGCTGATATTCCTGAAAGAAGCAAGAACATCTCTTTAATCTGTACCGAGCTCCAAGCACAGTGTAAACCCTAAACCCTAAACCCTAAACCCTAAACCCTAAACCCGGCTTGTCGTGTTCAGGGGCTTGTGCAGGGTTGAGGGGTGGGGCCGAACCTTTGGACTCCCAAACTTTGGACCTTGCATTGGGTTTAGGGTTTAGGGTTTAGGGTTTAGGGTTTAGGGTTTAGGGTTTAGGGCCGGTCCCGTCGAGCTTGGAAGATGGACCTTTGGAATTCCTTGGGGACCAAATGAACCATCCATCAAAGGGTTTATGGCTCTTTGAACCTTACTACATCAGTGTTAGGGATCCTTTTTACTTTTTGGGTTGTGGGCTTTCTTATATATAAACAAAAAGGATCCTTTTTTCTTCCTAGGGGAACAGGGATTAAGCTTAATTGCAATGCGTGTAGTACAGGGTATATGGCCCCAAATTTTGGGGTTCTATTGGTCCCCCGGATTTGCCTCCCTGGTACTGGTAAGGAGTTCGCTGTGTCGGTTGGTCAGAGAACAGAGAGAGAGCGGGAGGTACGGAGAAAGGAGCACTCAGACCGTTTCGCGTGGCAGCTTTAACCCGTAAATGTTGGTGCAAACCCCTCACCAGGTCAGCAAGCCCATACATCCCACACGTCCCGCAGACATGGAGATGCAGGCTTCACTTTCTGGGTCGGCCTTGCTGCCCCAAAGGCCCATATCCACTCATGAAAGACTGAGCCCAAACCGCCCCTCCAACAAAATCATGAACACCCTTGTGTAGCTTCAGGTACATTCCTGAGGGCACATGCATCCATAGGGCAAATGCGTCTAGGGTTTTGAGTCTTGGTGACTCTAAATCCTAAACCCTAAGAGCCTTATTTTAAGTTCAACGGTCGCGAGCCTGTCAGGCCTGGAGCTTGAGAAGTCGGCCCTTTGCCCAGCGAAATGGTTGGGTAGGGTTTAGGGGTTAGGGGTTCGGGTGTTAGAGTTTGCAAACTCTAAACTCCACAGCCCCAACAAGGGTGCCTGTTTTGGAGTGCTCTTATAATGAAAGACGATTGCATACTGGGGTACCTGAGGCATATATATCTCCTAGTCTAGCACGCGCCCATGTAGTGTCTTTGGGTTCACACTTCCAGCAGGCAGTGGAGTGATGTTCGACAGGGCTCCGAGAGTCAATCAAGCCTTCCTTGTTTTCGAGGTTCCATTATGAATCTTGGGCAACCTACATCAAAGCAGGTTTTGCGTTGAGGCTTTAGGGAACAGGTTTTGGGTTCGTATAAGAGTTCTTAGAAGGAACAACCGGGAAGCCTTCGCAGGAAGCGGAGCGCTTGAGGGCGGAGGTCGCGCGCCGCAAGCCCAGTTGTTGGCCAGTGCTGGCTGCAAGGGCAACAAACAAAAATCCCGAAGCCGCCCTAAAATGCCTTACAGCCCTAAAACCTAAGCTCTAAACCCGGAAAAAAAAAGAACCTGCAAACTTGGGGCATGGCGCTCGAAGGTCAAATCCTCCAACTTACCCCGAGCGTCTGCTGAATGTAGCCTGCGCCATGTGGGATTGAGGGCTGGGGAAAGTGCGCCAGGCTTCTAGGCTCCTCAGGAGTTTGTTGAATTTCTAGGCTTAAATACCCCCACCCCTTGTACACTTAGGGTTCCCCGAAAGTGACCTGAATTATAGTTCAGAGAGAAGACCAGATGAAGAGAACCCACGAAACCCTGATCTCACCTGCTCAACTTACGTGCACACGCGAGTTGCTGGCTCGGTGGCCTGGAGGATTCATTGCACCCCCGACCTACCAGCATGCCCCATAAGCCCTGAAAGCCCGAAGCCGTCAAGGCTAAGAACAAGATCCGGCTCTTAATCGAGGACCCAGAGTCTCAGACTAGGCCCGTATTCCCTATTTGTGGGGGTTAGGTTCTTTCAGAAGCCCCTGGGGGAAAAAAAAGGGCACCCTTTGATTCCTAGCCCTAAACCCTTCAAAGGGCACCCTTGCCCTTCCAGGTTTCTCTTGGGTGTAGAAATTCTTTCGCACCTTCAGGACTGGTATCAGATCGCGGCTGCCCCAGAAGACGTACATCGCAGGGTTGGCATTGTAATTCGGAGGTGTTTTGGCGGCTTAGGTTTTTAGGTTTTTAGGGTTTCGGGTTGCGGGTTTAGGCTGGAGCCCTAAATCCGGCTTTTTGCGCGAGTGCTGGGGGGGGGGGGGGGGCCGCCCCTAAACCCTAAACCCTAAACCCTCCTTGCGGGAGTTTCATGGAGGTGAGCTGACCGGCGCGCGGGAGTCAGCCTTGGTTGTGCCTCAGCTCAACGGATTCTTGGGGTTCGGGTTGAACCGGTTTAGGGTTTAGGGCTTAGGGTGTAGGGTTTAGGGTTTAGGCTTAGGGTTTAGGGTTTAGGGCTTAGGGTTTAGGGTTTCGAGCACCCCAAAGTGGATGGAGCACACGGCACAGGGCGACCTCAGATTGCCAGGACCTTTGTTGCAATGCTTGTGCACGAGCAGATGGTGTAGAGATAGCCGGGGATGTAAGTAGGATCCTGAACCCCAAAGCCTAAACCTTAAACAAGCTAGGATCTTAAAACTGCCCCTGAGTAAGGAGTCCGAGATGTCGCTCCAGCCTGGGACTTACAGCACCAGATTTGCTGTCTTTGCAGGTTTTTGTTGGAGTTCTTGACAGGCGGGATATCCCAGCAAGCCTATGCATGCGCTTTGCTGTCGATGCTGGACAGGTGGTCGATCCTTTTAGCTATTGCACTGCACAGAACCCTAAACGAAGAGCGTCTAACGTGGCGACTTTCATGATTTGCTGTGATGGACGACAGCGCTTCAGCGAAGCTTGCACCTGGTGTGCTGCATTAAAAAAATTGCTTGCAATCGAATCTATGACCTCCCGCAAGCCGATGTTTGATGGTCGCCGTGCCAGCAAGCAAATTACTCGGATTGACTGTGACATGTCGAGAACCTTCACGTTCTTTGATGGTATCCTTCCGTAGGGTTCAGGGTTTCGGGCAGTGTGAACCATGAAGGTGTGCGTTTTGGGTGTATGGCCTTCTGTTGAATGGAGCAGAGAATGCAAGGCGCATGCTGGCGAAGCTACAGCACGACTATTCCGAGCTGTCGGCAGGCAACAAACCTCATTGTTGAAAGCTGACACGCACAAACTCTAAGCCCCAACAGGTCCGAAATTTCCGGTCTTTTCGGGACATGCTGATGAGCTTGTAGGGGTGAGAGTTCAGGGCGCGCGGTCTTGGATGATCGGCCCAAGTACCCAACTTCACCCAAGACATATACACACACACACACATATGTATATATATATATACACAGATATAAACATGTCTCAATATTATCTTGATGTATGTATACAGAGTACATGTAAATAAATCGATAAATAAATAAATAAATATAAATATATATATATATTTATATTTATATATAAACATCTAACCCTATGTACTCATATGTGTAAAAAAGAAATATATATATATATATATATATATATATGCACGCATACACAGAATTACCCTAAGCTGCTAAACGTCCTGTCTTCGCTAATTGCAGAGGCTTGGAAGAAGAGCGGGAAGCAAGGCACGCCGGGACTTGAATCCCGTTGACCCCGAATCCTATAGGTGCCTGAAGAATTCGAATTGGGTTTTGGGGGCTTCTTATAGAATGGTAGTCTTGTTCCGACCCCTATATTTGAGGTCACTCTTGAGTGTATAGGTTTCACCTTAGATACGCCTTTATTTCTGCGGGAGCGGAGTGGAGTTGGCTTGACAGGGAGCAGTCTGGGTTCGAGATGGGTTTACTTGTGAACCTGGCTACTATTTGCTTAAGAACCCCCGCAAAAGGGTTTAGGGGTAAGGGTTTAGGGTTTTAGGGTTCTGCTCTTTGCTTAAGAACCCCCCGCCCCCCCGGAAAAAGAACATCCAATATTCTTCCTTACAAGGGCAATATGTAACAAAGGGGTCACGATTCTTTTACTTTTTTGGGAGGGTTCTCAAGCATTTGGTAGGTGGCAATCTTCCAGGTTTGGAGCATGTGGCCTCAACGCGCTTCCCTTCAGCTGACAGACGAATAGTAGGTCCATGGTCCTACGTCCAACCTACGCAATAGTGCATATGGTCACTTCTCCAAAATATGTTTGTGGCCCTCATTAGAAGGCGGCCCCTCTTGTTTAGGGGAACCCAAAAGGAGGCCAGAATTTCAGAGAACTGACCATATAGGGCTAGGGACGACAACCCACGAAACAGCTCCAGTGCACCCAGACGAGAGAGCTTTGAATAAAACAAACCTCCGCGGAGGAAGGCAGTCGAACAAGAAAGGGGCAGCCCTAGTTGATGTAGAGATATAAGGACCCAAATTTGGGTTGTAAGGATGGCTTAGGGTTTAGGGTTTAGGGTTTAGGGTTTAGGGTTTAGGGTTTAGGGTTTAGGGTTTAGGGTTTAGGGTTTAGGGAGCATAGTAAGGGGGGGCCCTTCCTAGAGCGTGTACCCATGTCTCCATGACTTCGTGCCCATGGCGCAATCCGACGCCTCGCCCTCTCCTAGAGATGCGACGGGTGTCTCGAAGGACCCCGGGATTGAGGTTAGGGTTTAGGGTTTAGGGTTTAGGGTTTAGGGTTTAGGGTTTAGGGTTTAGGGTTTAGGGTTTAGGGTTTAGGGTTTAGGGCACGTCATACTCATGCGCTTCCCTACTTTTTTACTACCCCCTAGGTTCCCCCCCCCCCTTAAATAACCTCAACTAGGCTCAATTGTCCCCAAATAGCCTTAATTGTGGAGGCAATGTATTGTGGGTAGGATAGAGGGGGGAACCCATCAGGTTCTCAGATTCGGCCGTTGAACTTGCGAGCCGAATGTTGGGAGGTCATATATGAAGAGCAACTGCATAAAACAAAAACAAAACAGACAAGTGAAGGCAACACACACACACACACAAAATCACGTGCGGGCGCGTGCAGGTGTGCACGCATGCAACAAGCATGTATGCCGCTGAAAATTTGAGCAGGGTTTAGGGTTTAGGGTTTAGGGCTAGCTTCGTTTGAAGGCTTTAATGCCCTTAGACCATGCTGCGAGGGCTCATGTGTGTTTGCCAGTTGGGAGGGATTGGTTTTGGGTTTAGGGTTTAGGCTTTAGGCTTTAGGCTTTAGGGTTTAGGGTTTAGGGTCTAGGGTTTAGGGTTTAGGGTTTAGGGTTTAGGGTTTAGTTCGAAAGTGAATTTATGGGTTTATAGGGTTTTGTTTAGGGTTGAGTTTAGGGTTTATAGGGTTCAGTTTAGGGTTCATAGGGTTTAGTTTAAGTTTAGGGTTTAGGGTCTAGGGTCTATTGGCTATTGTTTCTTGGGGTCGTGGCTCCTGGCTTTTGGAAACGGTCCGCAATTCATGGCCCCCACGCCCATGCGAGACCCTGAATGCTTGGATGAACCCTAAACCCTAAACCCTAAACCCTAAACCCTAATGCATGAAAGCCCGGGCGTGAGCAGGACTATCCAAAGGATGTGTGGCCGGGCACAAATTGGTTTGATCATCTCGTGCTTCAAGCCCTAAACCCTAAAACCGCAAAAGCCTAAAACCCTAAAACCCTAGAACCCTAAAACCCTAGAACCCTAAAACCCAAAAACCCTAAAACCCCAGAACCCTAAAACCCTAAACCTTTCCATGATCCTCACGGTGCATGAAGTAGCCGTACGGCTATGCTACGTGTCAGTGCGTTGCATGGGGCCGAGGGCTGGCATTCTCGGAGGCCCTTTTGCCTTAGCAAGTAGGGTTTAGGGTTCAGGGTTTAGGGTTCAGGGTTTCTGGTTTAGGGTTAGTAAGGTGGGTATATGGGGATGATCATAGGGATTCTAGGGGATGCGCAGTAGAGTTGCCTCCTGCACTGAGGCTAATTCTGCAAAAGGTGCCTGTAAGATTGGCTGCAGTAGATGTCAGGCGATCGGCCAGCTCAAGCAAAGCTTCACAGCGCCTGCTTGCGATGTCCCGAAGACCCTAACCCTAAACCAAAGAAACCCTAAACCAGCAAACCCTAACTGCTCTTGCAGGAGTTCCCGTGGGCCTCAGAAGTCAAATCCATAAACCCTAAACCCTGAACCCTTCAATCGCAGGCCTCATGTGTTCTCTTCAGCGGCATTCCAGGGGCTCAGAGGGTCTAGGGATTGAATTCTCAGCCCCGGTCTCAAAATCAGCCTAAACCCTAAACCCTAAACCCTAAACCCTCGGGCCCTGGGGTTAATTCTCGGAGTTTAGGGTACCGAAATGCCCCGAGGTTGCTTCGGACTGTCGGTGCATCCATGCCCGAACTGGCCGCGGTCTTGGCTTGTAGGGTTTAGGTTTTGGGATTTGTAGGTTTTAGGATTTAGGTTTCAGGGTTGAGGACTTAGGGCTTAGGGTTTAAGGTTTTGGGTTCAGGGTTTAGGACTTAGGACTTAGGGTTTAAGGTTTTGGGTTTAGGGGCTCGTTGAAAGACAGCAATGGTTTCGGCTTAGGGGTTTCGGGCGCTCTCTTGTGGCTGCTTCATGTCGCTCCAAAACTGCGCTTGTGCTCCGCGTCCCTACCCGAGGCCCCTCCCCCCGCCACCCTCCACCCTGCACCCTTCACACGCCACACCCCCCCCCCACCACCCGAACATAGGGGTTCCAATAGGGTTTAGGGTTTAGGGTTTAGGGTTTATAGGGTTTACCCCACATGACCATCCGCCATGTGCCGAGGACGCTGCTGAGGAGGCGATCCACAGTCCCATGGACGCTTGGGTGCACGTTGCGGTCCGGTTGAGTGTCGGCTACGGAAGATGGAGCACTAAACCCTAAACCCTAAACCCTAAACCCTAAACCCTAAACCCTAAACCCTAAACCCGTTTATGGCCTTCTGTAGCTAGAAGCACCAGGGCCCTGGAATTGAATCAAAACCGAAACGATGCTGCCGGACACCAGCTTCATTGGCTGCAAGGAGAAGTGCCGAAAGCGGCTCCGCGAGAAGAGGCTGCTGCTCCCACGTAACCCGGCACCCTAAACCCTACACTGGCTTGGTACGATAAGGAAAAGGATGGTTTAGGACTCCTTGCTCTGAATTACTCTGGGCTCCCCCTTTTAAATAGAAAGCCTTCCCCCCCCCCCCCCCCCCCCCCCGGCCCCACTCCCCCCATCATACCCCGGCTTAAGTCCTTAAGCCACCAGGAGGCGAATCGAAGCTTCCCTGCAAAAGGCAGTAGCTGAGAACGTGTCTTGGGAGCACGTTGGCCCCCTGCTGGGAAGCCCTTGTGACAGAGTAAGTATGGTTGCTGGGGGGATTATCATAGGGATTCAAAGGGCTACTAAGTAGACTTTCTACAAAAGAGAGCTTCTAAGTGGGGTCCTCATTAGCTTCATTTCGGGTCAGGCGGGAAGGGTTTGGAAATTAGGGTGTCGGGTTCATCTGGTATGTGGAGTTTCTAGTAGACCCTGCTTGGGTAGATGTGCGATGAGCCACGAGTGCGCGTGACAGATGCATGCAGCATGCTGAAGTCAGACTGCGCCGGCATGGAGTTCAGTTCCGGGCTCAAGCGGGTTTAGGGGATGGCTTAGAGACTTCCAAACCCTAAACCCTAAACCCCTAAACCCACTTCGGCATAAGGAGCGCAGCCGCCGCGAGCGCGAGGCATCTGGACAGAGCAGCTGTTCTTTGTGTTTTGAGGAGCTCTACTACCTTCAAAAAGCGAGATTTTGGGGTTTAGGGTTTGGGGTTTAGGGTTTAGAGTTTAGGGTTTAGGGTAACCGGACGCAAAAGGATTTAGAGTAACCTTGTACCTTAAAAAGGACATGCTTTTTCAAGAATTAAGGTACGTCATCCGTTTTTTGAAGGTACAAAGGTTACTCTAAGTAAACCTCGCTATAAGGGGTTCCCCCTCACTATACTAAGTTTAGTTCAGGGACGTATAACCTAAGATAGGATCCCTTTCACCCAATTTAGGGCCCCTATAACTCTACTTGCTCCCGGACTTCCCTGTTGCAGCGACTCATGCTTCACGAGATTTAGGGTTCAGAGGGTTTAGGGTTTAGGGTTTAGGGGTTAGGGGTTAGGGTTTAGGGTTTAGGGTTTAGGGTTTAGGGTTAGGGTTTCAGGCTGCCCATGAGCAGCGGTTGCGGCGCATCGCCGCGGACAACGCATCTAAGCTGCAATGGCGCCAGTGGAATGACTGTCTGGGAGTGGGTATTGACCATTTGCAGTTGACTCGTGCGACTCGTCCTATAGGTCTTCCCCAGCATCGGCCTTTGGCCGACGCTAGCTAGCAGCTGCTTGCTTGGATCTCGTGGCCTATATCTACGCCTCCGTGAGCGAGTCACGCTCAACTCTCTTTCTTTATCTCTTGCTCTCTTTTTTGTCATCCTCTCTCTCTTTCTATCCTCTTTGTTTCTGCATGCAGTACATCCCAATTAAACTACATCTCCCAACTCGCAACCTGCCAGAGAGCCCCAGACCAGGATACATGCTCCAGTCCAAACATCGGGCTCCCGAAGCACCCAGATCGACAGATTGCAGCCCCCACTACACTGCCAAGATGCTGGTCAATACTGTCAGCTAAGCCTGAGAGCGGGGTAAAGGGTTTAGGGTTTCCGGTTTAGGTTTCAGGGTTTAGGGTTTAGGGTTCAGGGTTTAGGGTCTAGGGTTTAGGGTTTAGGGAAACAAACCCTAAACCCTAAACCCTAAACCCTAAACCCTAAACCCTAAACCCTAAACCCTAAACCCTAAACCCTAAACCCTAAACAGCAGCCTAATACCCAATTGACAATCGCACGTCCCAGCCGTGCAAGCGTTGAGCTGCAGGCTCGGCGCCGCCACGAGGAGGATTGCCTGGGCAAGTTGTCGAGCGGTTTACTACTATTCCCTAAGGCTCCATGTACCAGACCCTTTTATACTTGAGCCCCAAATACCTTACATAGCAAGTACTTACAGTAAGGCCCAAGTATTCCATTTCTAAAGTACATGGGCCCTTGCGGATTTGCTTAAGAACCTTCATGTTCTTCCTTATAAGGGCATTATAGGGAGGGTATGTTTTGAAATAATCTTTCTTATAAGGGTAATATAGGGATTGGTATTTTTTTTTTTTTTTTGGGGGGGGGGGGGTGGTTCTTCAGCACATAAAAATTTAAGGCTCAGGCAAAACTGCAAGCATGGTCCATAAACTAACAGCAGGAACTACCAGAAGGGTAGTCAAACCCGTAGTGGTAACAATCACAGAAATGCATGGCAATGACATCCTCATTATTATCAACAACAAGAATACGGGCAATACTAAGAATGTTCATACTAACTATCGTGGTGGCTGTTGCGAGAAAACTACCGAAAGCCAACGCATTGAGGAAGGTCTGGTTTTCGCGTAGGGCGTAGAAGCCTAAAGGCATAAAACGTCCCCCCCCCCCCCCACCCCCACCCGCAAAAAACAGGCAAACGGAACCCCCTAAACCCTAAACCCCAAACCCTAAACCTCCTAAGCCCTAAACCCTAAACCCTAAACCCTAAACCCTGACCAAGCGAATCCTCTCAGCCCCCCAGGAGCTGGTGCTCCAAAAGGCTGCCCGCAGAGCGCCTGGGCGTAAGCCTTAACTAAGCCCTGAACACCCTTAGGGCCTTCGGCTTGTATTCCTTGTATTCGGTTGGTATATATATATATATATATATATAATATAAACCCATGTATACCCAATGTATATGTGCATATAAATACAAACATCCAAACCACTATGTAGTAGTGTAAGAGCCAAATATGGCAATGTCAGGTGAAGACTTGCGGTTTAAGTTTTAGGGGCCGGGTTTAGGGTTTCGGGTTTAGGGTTTACGGTTTCTGGTTTAGGGTAGTTTAGGGTTTAGGGTCTGGCTTGCGAGTGCGAGGTGTGTCTGGAACCCTGGGATACAGGCTGTTCCTTTCGTTGGGGGCTCATGGCTGTTGGGCCCTTGTTTGCTGGCTTTGGTGGTGCCATACATAGGTTTAGGGTGTGGGGAGCTGAATGCTCAGACACTTGCCCACCCATGCACACAATGCAGCATCAAGCAGATGGACTGACTGCAGCCAGAATCCTCCATCAGGTGTAAAACAGGGTTTAGGGTTTAGGGTTTAGGGTTTAGGGTTTAGGGTTTAGGGTTTAGGAGTGCACCCTGAAGGCCACCCGAGCTGGCCTTCCTGCATCAGGTTCTGCATCCCTGCCCATGTACCTTCGAGCAGATGACACCATAAACCCTAAACCCTAAACCATCATCCCTAATCCCTAAACCCTAAACCCTAAACCCTTGCATCAAGAGTTGCGGCCCAGGAAGTTTCATTCCTGAAGAGCTTGGGGATGTTGCCTCCACCGAAAACTCGGATCCGGAGGACATGGTGAGCATGACGCCTACAAGAAGGGCCCCCAGGGTTTAGGGTTTAGGGTTAGGGTTTAGGGTTTAGGGTTTAGGGTTTAGGGCTTAGGGCTTAGGGGTTAGGGTTTACGGTTTAGGGTTTAGGGTTTAGGGTTTAGGGCCCCCCCTATTTGGGTGGTTGTCAAAGTTATGATCCCTTTTGCGGTTCCCTAAATATTAGGTGCCGTATTATAATAAGGGATCGAAAAAGGGACCATACGTTTGACAACCACCCATTTGTAGGCAGAGATATAAAGGCCCTAAATTGGACAAGAAGGATCCTGTATTAAATCACAAGTCCCTGAACAATAGACAGTGGGTATAGGAAGGGGAGCCCCGGGCCCCCTCCTTGCAGATGGGGGATGCTTAGTAGGCGAGTCAGAATATGTTTGCATATTTTGGGGGTCGCCCCGCAGGTTGCACCTTAGTTCAGCTGGGAAGACGGACCAGTAAGCTGGTCGACAACGTTAAGTGATGTGCCTGAGCTGTGTTTACACTGCAGTCTGCACAGCTACAGCTTTTGCTGAAGACCCTAAACCCTAGACCCTAAACCGCTAAACTCCTTTCACAAACCCTCCCCCAACTTGTCCGATGCTCACAGGACACGAAAGGCGGCTGAGGCCCGTCGGGCTTTAGAATATTCTTGTAGTAGGGCCAAAGCCAAGTCCACCCGAAGACGATGCTGCAAGCTTGGCGCCTCACAATTCTGTCAGAGCAGCAATGCTAGCAATACAGTAGCAGCAGCAGCAGCAAGAACTGTATCAATATTCATTCAATGCCCAATGCAGTGCATGAGCTGCTCGTGGGTGTATGGTTTGGGGTTGAGCTAGTTCGCACACGCGTGCGAGGCCTACGCGACGGATGCTGCCGCCTATCTGGTGCAGCTGCCGCAGGAGGCCCGAGCGCACAACATGCTCCATGTTTTCCAAAGCACAGGGTACCTTTTAGGGGTTCCTACTATGACTACAGTACTTTGGGGGTTATATATGCGGTACTCACCCTTGTTATGGGAAGCACCCACATTGGAGATGAGCTAGTCTACCTTCGACCACAAGTTTTTAGGCATTATTCCCATAAAGGAGGGTTTTAACCCTAGCCTAAACCCTAAGCCCTCCTAAACCCTAAGCCCTTCGCCGGAGCAGGGACATCATCCCGTCGCTAGAGCCCTTGAGAAGACAAATAAGCGGGCGTCTGGAAGCAGGGTCTACTATATCCCCCTTGGGAATAATTTTCTATTTTTGTTCATATAAAACCCAAGCGGATTTTAAACATACTAATTTTATTAAGGCTCAAAGGGGAGTATAGTCCCTAAGTACCCCCTAATGCCTGCAAGCCCTGAAAGTGCTTAAGTGATCTTTTTTCCACAAGGTTCCATGATAAGATTCCTGAAAGGCCCCTTTCAAATCATAAGATACTTTAACTCCCATGAAGGGCACTTTCCAAGCTCCTCCCTAGTGTAGAAACTATGTGTTTTCGTGAACCCTAAACTAGGGTTTTGGGTGTTCGGTTCGGGCTTAGAGTAGTCTAAACCCTAATCCCTAAACCCTAAACCCCGCCAGGACACGGATTCTGGCATTGGCAGGTGCGCAGTGCTCAACGCTTGGAGGATTAGGGGGCTTAGTAGGTAACAAGGTAGATGTGAGACCTTCGTTGGGTTTAGGGTTTAGGGGTTTAGGGTTTAGGGTTTAGGGTTTAGGGGGTTTTCCTACTGAGCTACCATGTCCCCCGAGCCTCCAAGCCGGAGTTGTTGGGTGTATGCTGGGGGTTATTTTCTGCGGTTTCAACTGGCCGTGACAGGTTGAGCACGTGTTTCAAGGGTGCACTCTCTTGTTCGAGGCTTGCGGGGCTTTGTGGGTTTTTTCCTTCTTTCATGGTTTTGATTCTGATCTGGCGGTGCGCGTTTTTCTTGGGGTGTTTGGGGTGGTCGAATTCGTCAAAAGCCTAAGGTAGACTTAGCTCAAACACGCTTGATTTGTACAAGGAAGCCTATCACAGAAAGTACCAGCAAGGGGACCCTAAGTTTGAGCCCCCCCCCCCCCCCCCCCATCCATGTCGGCTTGTAGCCCTCCGTGGCTTTGCATCTCGCTGCCTGAAACACCAGTATTCACTGCCATATCTGTCATTTATACTCAACAGTGTTAGTCGTAGCTTTTCCGCCGCTACTGCTGTTGTTGTACCCTAAACCCTACATCCCGAACCCTAAACCCTACATCCCGAACCCTAAACCCTAAACCCTAAACCCTCAACCCTAAACCCTAAACCCTAAACCCGTGGCGATTTTGGCTCAAGTTTGGAAAGCCCACAGGAGGAGGTCTTGCGGGCGCCTCAGACTGCAACGGTCCTGTCGCTGTGTGTCAGGAACCCTAAACCCTAAACCCTAAACCCTAAACCCTAAACCAGTTTGGGGTCTAAAGGGTTGCGGGCTCAAGGACTCCGGTTGCAAAAGGGTTTGGGTCTAGGTTTTAGGTTTTAGGGTTTAGGGTTTAGGGTTTAGCGCAGCCGCGCAAGGCATCACAAGCCTGTTGCAAAAGCGAGTACTTGTGCGGAGGGCACGTGCTGAGCCTCTTGCCAGTTCTTATGGAGCATCACAGGCAAAGACTAGAGCGCGGGCTTGTTAGAAAGACTTTGAGGACCAGGTGCTAGGGTTTACTGTTTAGTGTGGAGGGGGACTCTGCAAGTAGTTATTACGTAGGGCTACAAGCAGGACAAATCGAGGTTTCCTGTAGTTTACTTCTACCTCTACTTCGTACTTTCTTACCGAGTCACCGAACCCTAAACCCTAAACCCTAAACCCTAAACCCTAAACCCTAAACCCTAAACCCTAAACCCTAAACCCTAAACCCTAAACCCTAAACCCTAAACCCTAAACCCTAAACCTGAACTCCCCACTTGACATTCAGCCCACCCGGCGCGGCCTTGAGTCCGGTTTAGGGCTCTTAGGGTAACCTCTATACCCAGAGCAGACCTCTACCGTTTAGGGGTTTAGGGTTTAGGGGTTCAGGGTTTTGGCAAAAAGGGTTTAGGGTCTATGTCCCAACAAGTCAGGTGCGTTCCCTTTTGGTTTTAAGGGTACAAAGGTTGCTAGGTAGGCCCTTGGGAGATCTTGGTCTTTTCCCCTATTGGGTTTAAGAGGATCATATCCAGGAATATGTTTCATAGGGTTTAGGGTTTAGGGTTTAGGGTTTAGGGTTTAGGGTTTAGGGTTTAGGGTTTAGGGTTTAGGGTTTAGGGTTTAGGGTTTAGGGTTAGGTTTAGGGTTTAGGGTTTAGGGTTTAGGGTTTAGGGTTTAGGGTTTAGGGTTTAGGGGTACTCTAGGCTGACTCTCAGGATCCTACCGCCCACATTGCGGACGCGGGCATCTGGCACGCAGAGCAACATGGGCCACCGGGCTGCCAGTGACCCCAATCCCTAGAGTCTTTTTGGGTTTCCCTATTTGTAGGAATTATAAGTTAAACTTTTTCCCTTTGGTTTGGAGAAGGAAGTTGACGGGTTCCCAGAGAGTAGCTTTAAGATTTAGGGCCCAAGTATAGACTACGTAGGTACATGGACCCTGAGGACTTCTGCGCAATGGCTTTGTAAAGCAAGATCGCCCAGAAGCTGGAGTTTCTTCCAAGGTTCCCGATGAAAGGGTGACACGGGCATGTTTGTGTAGAACAAACCATGGGTCCTTGCTGTTCTATTCCCGACTCGGGCGCCGGGTTCGCGCTGTATTCCACTGAGAATGATTCTCATTTGATTCGAAGGCAGCACCGGGCGCTATACTATATCCCGTCGAGTGCCCTCTTCCCTTTTCGTTTATGATGAGGGTGTGTGGCTCCCTCCTTGACGCCCATTAAGGCAGAATTCGAGGTCTTCTAGCCCTAAACCCTAAACCCTGCTTTTTGGTCTGGTCCTAGTCGCCTGGTCACCCCCTGAGAACCAACCTCTGCCACTTCAGACCCAACCCCTAAACCCTAAACCCTAAACCCTAAACCCTAAACCCTAAACCCTAAACCCTAAACCCTAAACCCTAAACCCTAAACCCTAAACCCTAAACCCTAAACCCTAAACCCTAAACCCTAAACCCTAAACCCTAAAACTAAACCCTAAACCCTAAACCCTAAACCCTAAACCCTAAACCCTAAACCCTAAACCCTAAACCCTAAACCCTAAACCCTAACCCTAAACCCTAAACCCTAAACCCCAAGGCTGTGACCTTATCGGTGGCTCCAAGAACATCGGCATCATCGGGAGCCTTGCTGTGTTGTTGAACAACATCCTGGGGCCTGGCATTGCGAGCCCTTGGCAAAATGGCCGTTTCAGGTGCACAGAACAAGTCAACACGAGCGAAGCCCTAAACCCTAAACCCTAAACTCAAACCCTCAACCCTAAACCCTCAGCCTCCCGGCTGCAAAGGAACTTCTCCGGACTCTACCAGCAAAGTGGCTGGTTTCTGCCGACTCTGTGCCCCTGGCCGCACCTGATGTCCCGCGAAGCCCAATCCGTAATTGCAGGAGTATACACCAAAAAGTTTAGGGTTTAGGGTTTAGGGTTTAGGGTTTGGGGTTTGGGGTTTGGGGTTTGGGATGTTCCACCTTATACTAGCAGTCCTTGATAGGGATTACAATACGGGGGTACTACAATCCCCACTAAGGGCTGTTAGTATAAGGGGGAACATCCCAACGATGAAATCTAAGAAGTTCTATGTCATACTGCCCAACCATTGAGTAACCAATTATTTGTCAAGGTCTCTGCGTTTGGCATCCTGAGATTCGGAAAATTTAGGGTTTAGGGTTTAGGGCTTAGGGTAGGTTTAGGGTAGGGTTCAGGGTTCAGGGTTCAGGGTTCAGGGTTTAGGGTTTAGGGTTTAGGGTTTAGGGTTTAGGGTTTAGGGTTTAGGGTTTAGGGTTTAGGGTTTAGGGTTTAGGGTCTGACTGTCATGCGCTGCACCCCTTGCAGAGCTGGCTCGGAGGTTGGTGGTGGTCTGCGTGCTCTCCAGCATCCTCAGTGGTGCGCTTCTTCTGGCTGCCATCCGCGCCTACCCGGACAACCAGGAGTTTCGGGTTTAGGGTTAGGGTTTACGGTTTAGGGTGCCGCCTAAGCCCTAAACACCCCTAAGCCCGAAACCCTGAACCCTACAACCCTACAACTTATCGTAGGGTAGTTTCATTGGGGTATATAACGGGTATATAAGGGGTACCTTGTTAAGGGCCCATACTGAGGGAGGTATATAAGGGGTACCTTTTTAAGGGCCCATACTGAGGGACCAAGTAACTAACCCTAGAAGCCTCTTATGACCAGTGCGGGGATGAACGTGCTTTGTGCAGAGCCTGCCCCTAGACAAACAAAGGCTTCGCATGAAGTAGTGCCCTGAACCCTAAGGTTTATAGAACCCTAAACCCCAAACCCAATGAAGCCCTAAACCCTGAACCCTAAACCATTAGCCCCTATAAACCCTGAACCCTTGTTCATGGTTCCCTCTCTGAGGGGCCTCAGGTTCCCTTCTCAACTCCATAAATGAAAGGGGGTGCTTGGAGGTTCAAAGGGTGCTTATGAACCCCCACTACAACCGCACTTTTGAGCCCCCCCCCCCCCCCCCCGAAGTCCCCTAAGTCGGATCTAAGTACAGCTATGCTTGGGGATTATACTAAGTACACCGGAACCTCCAAGTAACCCTGTGTTCTTTAGGGTTTAGGGCGACATGCGAGAACCGAACGTAGATAGTGGAGACTGAGAGTGAGCGGCATCTTTTGTTGCAGTTCCCCCACTCCACAACTTAGGGCTTTGGTAGCCTAAGTTTGTTTGGCTTTTGGCTTTTTGGGGGTTGACATCGAATCGTGCATGCGACACGGGCAGTGAGAGGGCTCCGCATGCAGGCTTTCTGCTGGATCTTAGAAGCATGATTTGCCGGTAAGCGCCCCGCTACGTGTCGTGAGTGTCAGCTCGGGAGCTGGACCAAAAACAAACTCTAAGTCATGTGGGCCCTTAGTATGGTCCCTCGCCTCCTTGCAGGGTTCTGAAGTATGGGCCCTTGGGCTGCCTAGGGTATAAAAAGGGGTATGTCAGGAGTTCCCCTTTTAAGGGCCCATTCAGGGACCATGTAACTTCCCTGCCACAAACTTATCCCCAAACCAAACCCAGCTCCGTGGTTGACAGTGCCCTCGCCCGAGATGACACGGATCCTGGACAGGACTTCGACGTGCGCGTCGAGTGCCTCGTCTGACCTAAGGGCTCGGCTGAGGGCTCAGGGCATTTCCGTGCTTCCCACGAGAAAACGCCAAGCGCCGAGGGGCCTTGGGCGACGAAACGCCTGGGAGGAGGGCCTAAACCCTAAACCCTGAACCCCAAGCCGAAGCCTTAAACCGAAACCCCAAGCCCTAAACCCCAAACCCTAATTCCTAAACCCTCAACCCCAGATACAAGCCTGGGCCCGGCCTCGGACAGGTGGCCGTCCAACAAGCTGTAAGCTGACATTCAATCTCCTAAGTTGGGTTTTAAGGATCAGGGTTTAGGGTTTAGGGTTTAGGGTTTAGGGTAGAGGTTAAAGGTCCCTAAGCTATAGTGTAGGAAGGGGGCCCCTCCTTGTAGAACCAAGCTAAACACAGCTCATGTTCCGAGCTGTTGTTGAAGTGAGGGCCAGTCTTGTCTAAAGACGCTCGTGCTGGCGCTGGTTCGATATCGGGGTCCCTTGGAGGGTGGGGAGGCGGGGAGACCTTTTCGTTTTTTTTATATATGTGAGTTGCTCCAATAGTAAAAAACTCATAATCGTATGTGGGTGCTTTATTTGCAACGACCCGGCTGCTCAGGTATGGGACGCTGTGCCGCCACTACTTCCCCCGCGGAGTGTCAATGGCTTTTCAATGCATCTTGGTTGCACCATCAGCGCAATCGCCGGCTTGTGAGGGGCAGAACCCTGTTGATGAAACAAGTCGGACCCAACAATCCGGATAAAACCATCGTTGACTCTTGGGCCAACGAGTGTCCATCTGTTTTGTGCGTGGAGAGGGCTAGACACGGGGGCCGGGGCACCCACAAGTAATGTAGGGGTCGGAAGAATTACTAATGGTATTCCCGCATTGTCCCTTTATAACTATACTACAATAGCCCCCGAAACCCTATTCTAATGATTAAGGCCCCTATTTACCCTAAACCCTAAACCCTAAACCCTAAACCCTAAACCCTAAACCCTAAACCCTAAACCCTAAACCCTAAACCCTAAACCCTAAACCCTAAACCCTAAACCCTTCGCGCTTTGGAGATGGTGCTGCAGAAACCCTAAACCCTAAACCCTGAACCCTAAACCCTAAACCCTAAACCCTAAACCCTAAACCCTAAACCCTAAACCCTAAACCCAAACCTCCTATTCTAATTATTAAGGCCCCCATATTACAAGTGAGGCCTTTTCCAGCTGGCCATGTTGACGGCCAACGTCAGCAACATCATCCAGACGGCCCAGGACCACCACACCCTCACCCCACAGAACCACAGAGTCGGCCTGGGTTTAGGGTTTGGCAAAAAGGGTTTAGGGTTTAGGGTTTAGGGTTTACCCCAGACTTGGCAAACGGTTAGAGAAGCCCGCGCCAGGTCGCCGACTACTTCTTGGTCGATCTGTTTGGAAAATCATGCGCCGTAGAGTTGCTCCTCATGCAGTTAGGGGCTTGAGGTTTACAGGCTTGGGGTTGTGTGGTGGTGGGGAGACCTCATGCACCAGCAAACTGGACATGGGGCATTGAGCAGCTATGGGTTCATCGGAATGTGGTGAAAACTTTTCAACATTTTATTGGAATGTGGTGCAAACATTTCAATATTTTATTGGAATGTGGTAGAATTCTTTTCAATATTTTTATTAGCTTCCAATTCGGGACTTGGACGCAGTTCGTCACAGGCTAGGGGCCCCGTCTGAGCTGCAGCGCGTTGGAGAGAACACAAATACGACCTTGGAGCCCGACAGTCTGTAGGGTTTAGGGTTTAGGGTTTAGGGCTGGGGTTTTTGGGGCTTTGGGTTCAGAGACTTCGTAAACGCTAGCTAGAATGGCCCTATGAATGTCCCTATAAAATAACAGGCCGTGTAAACCCCTTCGCAGCAGCCTGCTTCCGATTGTAAGCCCTGGGCAGCCGAGGTTATGGCCTGAGATAGAGTGGCTTTGCGAGGTGTCGCATTCTGACATAACTCCCTTTGGAACAGGGACGCCCGTCTTTCTGATTGGGGGTTGTTCTCAGTTCTTCTCAGTTCATGTTCGGGATCAAAAACACAAGGGGTTTGGGGTTTGAGGTTTGGGGGGGGGGGGGGGGGGGTGCTCTGGAGAAGAGTTAGTGTGGGTTGAAAGAAGGGCTTGTTCCAGACCGTAACCCCTCAAGAGGGATCCATAAAGGGGCCCTAACTCAAGCACCCTTTTTTTTCATGAGGGAGTACAAAATGGACCCCGCCACTAGCTCCTTTTAGAAGGGGATGCCGCAAAGTCAGGTACTTGGTTTTGATTTCCCGGCTGGGACATGAAGAGCAGGGTGCTTGCTTGGTGTGTGTGAGAGTCAGCAGAGAACCCCCCCCCCCCCCCAATGTGTTTCAAGAAAGCCTAAGCGTTGCAGAAGCTCTAATCTGCTGGACCCCAAAGCCCTCAAACCTGTTGATGGATGTTGAGTGACGGGTGCCGTCTGCATTTTCCCTGGCCGCTGTGGAAGTCCTCAACTTCAGGTCGGCGCCTTGTGTAAACTAAACCTCAAACCCTAAACCCTAAACCACCCGAAAACCCTACACCCCAAACCCGTACGCACCCTCCTTTTGCCAGCTTGAGGAAGCTTCTGATCTCTGCCGGAACCCTACATCCTAAACCATCCTAAACCCTAGCCCTAAACCCTAAACCCTAAACCCTAAACCCTAAACCCTAAACCCTAGCCCTAAACCCTAAACCATGTGAGGAAGCTTCTGATCTCTGCCGGGATGGCCATTGTTGCTGCCTTCAGCGTCCCACTCGGCTACTGGAACCTGGAGGCTTGTGGCTGCAGACACATTGTGGGGTTTCGGGTTTTGGGTTAGCGTTTTGGGTTTAGGGTTAGGGTTTAGGGTTTAGGGTTTAGGGCATAGGGTTTAGGGCTTCGTGGCGCGCATCCCTCAGAAGCCTGCTGCAAAAGTGTTTTGCGCGCTGAACTTTGGATTTAATTTTTTTTCCTATAGTTGTTTCTTCGACTGCTCATGACTGATGGACGTTTGCATCCCTGCAGTGTGGCTGCGAGCCTCATCTTGCATCGGGAAACGCAGTAGGGTTTAATTAGGGCTTAGGGCTTGGGGTTTAGGGTTTGGGGTTTAGGGTTTAGGGGGTTACGGTTCAGGGTTACGTTTTAGAGGTCTCTTTGACACGGATGAATATTTTGGGCAAAGCGGACATAAGTTTGGTGCGCCGACATTGATGCAAGAGTGACTCGAACACTCATCAGCGACCCACATTAAGCTGTTGCAGTTTGTCATTGAGGGATGGTTATTTTTGACTGGTATAGCTATTCCTGTAAGCAGGGATGTGGTCTTCGTCAACTGTAGTAGTTTCATGTTCATTGCTAGCTGCAGTTTGCATCTTCGGCACTGGTGAGCTGGGGACAAAAGCAGCTCCGTCTTAGTGCGCCCTGCAGGAAAATGTGCGTGCCCAAAATGTGGCCCTTGTTGTTATTGTGCTGTCCCTCGGTTGCACTTACATCAAAACCCCTAAGCTAGGACCCGGACTAGGCCCTTATTGCCGTTTTCTTCGGGTTTAGGCTTCCTTACCAGCCCCTTTACACCAAAAAGGGCACTATTCCTAGGTTACTCTTGGGTCACCCTAACCCTAAACCCTAAACCCCAGTCTAGTAAGGCTTGCAACTGTCCACTACCGTAGACTTGGCATCACTCGCTCACTGACGTCCTCCCGTGCCCCGAGCCACGTCCATGCACACCGAATGCACTCAATAATTAGAATAGGGTTCTGGGGGTTATTATAGTGTAAATACAAAGGGGCCATAAGGGAATACCCTAAACCCTAAACCCTAAACTATTAGTAATTATTCCGACCCCTTGGTGGTTTCCGAAGCCCGGGAACCTTATTGGGGGCCTTTAATTCCAAGGGATTCCTATCATCTGGGGCTCTATGTTAGGGTCCCTTATTTTGGTAAACTCCCTTTTAGGTTTAGGAATTTAGGGTGCTTCAGCCTAAGCCCTAAACCCTAAACCTTAAACCCTAAACCCCAAACCCTAAGCCCTAAACCCTCAACCCTTCATTTTTGGATGCCTAAAAGGATGCTTCGTTCAAAAGGGTGCTTCTTGACCGCCAGCTCAGGAGCATTTCTTTGTGGGTGGCGATCTTCTGTGCCCTGGGCCTGGAGGACATTAGGGTTTAGGGCTTGGGGTTTAGGGTTTATAGTTTAAGGGTTGAGGGCCCCACAGACACACTGCAGCGGCAGTGGGTGATAAGTACAGTTGTAATTGGGTTGTAAGCACCCTGAACCAGTAGGCAACCCTAACCCTAAACGCTCAACGCTAAACCCTAAACCCTAAACCCTAAACAGGCACTCAACCTTGTCAGGAAGATCGCGTGCCAGCCATCGGCTCGTCCTTCGACAATCTTGGCGGACCCCTGTCTGCAACACGCTTGGGAACCAAATGAACCCTAAGAACCCCTTCATGAAGGCAAACGGTTGAGGGGCTAGGGCTTAAGCCTTAAGCAATGAATCCTAAAATTGGGGTTTAGGTAAAGTTTAGGGTTGAGAGTTCAGGGTTGTTGGTTTGGTCGTCATAAGTCCTAGGTCAGTTGCTTTCGGCAAGTGGGACAGCAGAAAGTCATGAAGTGCAGCAATTGAGGCCCCATCGAACCAACGTAACCCCCTGACAGGGTGTATACGCTTGCAGGGAAATAAGGTACCCTAAGCCCTAAACCCCAAAACCTAAACCCTACACCCTGAAACCTGAGCAGGAACGGTTCTTTTCAACTTCATGTACGTCTCCACTTTGCCTTCCTGGGTGTGCGAGAAGAAACCGAGTGTGAAGCCAATGAGGATGCCCGGGAGAGTCGAGGTTTAGGGTTTTGGGTTTAAGTTTTCCCCAATCCCTCAAGATGGACTCATAAGTCAACTGATACATCCCCCAGCCATCGTACTGTGCCTTTGATTGGACAAAATAAGGCAGGGGCAGTGGGTCATGTCAGAGTAGCCCCTTCAGGGTCTACAAGAAGGGGCCCCCCTCTAGTTATAACGACCCTAAATTGGGTCGTCAGGATCCTGTCTTTGTATAAAAAGTCCTCAAACTATAGTTAGTATAGTTAGTGTAGTCAGTATAGTCAGTACAGCAAGGGGCCCCTCCTATTGTAGGGTTTGGGGCGTAGGGGTTACGTAGGGCTCATGTGACAGTAGCAGCACCCATGAAGCCTAAACTCTAAACCCTAAACCTTAAACCCGCCCTGAACCCGGAACCCTAAGCCCTAAGCCCTCAACCCCGAGGCAACCCTGAAACCCAAAAGCCCGGTCGCAAAGCATGGGGGTTGGAACAACCTGAGGTCCTTGTGGTGAAGATACGATCTGACGCGGGTCCCATCTAGGAGGCCTGCCCCCCCTCAAAACCGACCAAACAAGCCCGAGGACTCCCGGCCATCCCTAAACCCTAATTAAACCCTAAACCCTAAAACCCTAAAACCCTAAAAAATCCCTAAAACCCTAAAACCCCAAGACCCTAAAGCCCAAGCCCGCGAAGTCTTCCTTTCTAGGACGATCCTCGCGGCGCTGCTGATTGCCACTGTTGGGTACATCCTGGAAGCTAGGGCTTGTTCAGCACTTAGGGTTTTCTACTAGGGTTTAGGGTTTAGGGTTTAGGGTTTAGGGTTTAGGGTTAGGGTTTAGGGTTTAGGGTTTAGGGTTTAGGGTTTAGGGTTTAGGGTTTAGGGTTTAGGTCTAGTTGCTTAGGAGCCCCGAAAAAATATTCTTCCTTGTTTCAGGGTAATATTGGGCTTATCATGTTTTCTTCTTTTGGGGTTCTTAAGCAAATAGTAGCTTTGGGTGCAGGGCTTAGGGTGTAGGGTCTAGGGGGCGTGGGGTTTAGGGTTTGGGCTTAGGAGTCAGGGTTTAGGAGTCAGGGTCTAGGGTTGAGAGTTCAAGGTTTAGGGTTTAGGGGTTTATTGTTTTGCAGGAAGAAGCCGGAACCATCGATGAAATTGGTTCTTCAGAGTATAGGGGATGTGGAGCTTGTGCGATCCCCTTCCTTATACTTCGTGGAAGATACGCACAGCATATGTTCGGCTGCAAGTATGTCCGTGTATATGCGTGACAAGGTTACCGTAAACCCTGAACCCTGAACCCTGAACCCTGAACCCTGAACCCCAAACCCCAAACCCCGAACCCTAAACCCAAAACCCTAGCCCTAAACCCTATGCCAAGGTCGGTGCTCTTGGGGGGATGGCATTCGAACCGCTGCTTGGCGGAAGAGGGTCGAACGGGCAGACCGTTTTTGGGGTTTAGGGTTTAGGGTTTAGGGTTCAGGGTTCAGGGTTCAGGGTTTGGGGTCACAGAACCGAGACGATTGGCGGCTCGAAGTTGCTTGGATCCTCAAGCCCAGTTGCAAAAGGAGTCGGGGTTTAGGCTTTAGGGTTTGGCAGGTAAGGCCAAGAAGCTTTCCCCCAAGAAAGGGCAAGAAGGCCTGCTAGCAATATGCAGTGGGATAGTTCTAGCATGTACCGAGCAAATGGAATCGCTCGACATCCCCCGAATGCTCTTTCAAACCAATCACAAAGGGGAGCTGTGAGTTTGCTCCAAGGTACTTCGACACAGACAACACCTTGCTTTCAGAACTTCAGCACATCTCGGAGGAGGAGCTGAGTGAATTGCGCGAGTGTTGGTGCCACGTAGGGCTTGGAAGTGGAGAGCCAGATGAGTTCGCCGTCGACCTGCCAGCGTGCCTTCTTCAATCTCCAAACCCTAAACCCTAAACCTAAACCTTAAACCCTAAACTCTCACTCCCTAGGCTAGCCTTTGTGTGCCCTTGCCATGGCAAGGTACCCTAAACCCTAAACCCTTAGCTCTTGGGCAATAAACTGCCTGTTTTAACCTGAGATATACCCTATTAAGGTACCCTAAACCCTAAACCCTAAACCCTAAACCCTAAACCCTAAACAAGTTTACTTTGGGTAAACTGCTTCTAAATTCTACTGCCTGGAGGCCCCGGCTGTGGTGCGAACAACTGCAAGATGGACCATCCAGGACAGGAGATCAGGGTTTAGGGTTTAGGGCTCTAGACTAGGGTTTAGGCTTTAGGGTTTAGGGGTTTAGGGGTTGAGGGGCTTAGGGGCTTAGGGGCTGAGGGGCTTAGGGCTTTGGCGGTTTAGGGCTTTAGGGGTTTAGGGGCTTAATTAGGGGATTAGGGGCTTAGGGGCTTAGGCTGAAACAATTGAGCCTGTTGGGGCATCGCCGTCGAGCTGTTCGGGAGACATCGCTTGAAACCGGCATGCACAATTCCTCCCGCGGATCGGCCAAGTCGGCAACAGTCAATTCTCCCTCACCCCCTTCCACCCCCGAACTCCCTGCAACTTCGACAACCCGGCAAAGCTGTCACAACAGCCCCTGGCAGGCCTATGCGATCTCGGCAAACCTGGCATCCGTCCCCATCTTCTGCATCCTCATGCGCTACAACCTGCAGGAAGGTGTCTCGCTTAGATTCCCAGCCTACGCACCTCCCTTCGTCATTCCAGGCACAGACACACCTAGTGCCTAAGTGTGCGTGGCCCAACTCGAACCTGCATTATACACCTGCCTCTTTGCAACCCATTTGTTGGCGGACACCCTCATCCCGAACCCGAGACCCTTCGCCTGAGCCCGAGCCCTTCTTGTTGGTGCACGAGTGCCAGCGTCGGGTGTAGCACCCTCAACCAGGCATGGCCCTGAACCGCGCATGGGCCAGCGCGATTTCCGTTTTGGTTCCCTTCGCGCTGGCGGTCGTGCTCTACTGCGGCGACGGCTTCAAGAATGCGGCTTCTTCATGGCACTCAGGGGGTCCATGGAGTTGGCAGGGCGTGCGCCATGTAGAGTCCTGTAGGATATCCTGCACCTCTTGAAAGCTGGCAGCCTGAATATCATCGGGCAGCCAGGTAGGGTTTCGGGTTCAGAACGTGGGGCTGGGCGGGACTCTGCTTTCTCTTCCCCCGTTGGAATGCTTCCTTCGCAGCCTCAACAATGAGACATGAGACGTCCTGCACCACCTCTGCCACCCCCGAGCCCCTAAACCCTACAACCCTAAACCCTATAACCCTAAACCCTATAGCTCTAAACCAAGCCCTATAACCCTAAAACCCTCCGGCCCTACTCCCCAGACGGCAGCCGCGAGGTGAACTTCTCCGGGACGTTCACCTCCGCCTTGGTGAACCTCGTTGCGCCGAGCCTCTTTTTCCTCAGTGCCTTTGTTCAAGCAGTCAGGTCAGATCTAGACATGCACAAGCTTACTATGTTCATGAACGAATAGACAATCACACAGGTCTGTCTGCCTGTCTTTCTGAATGTATGCATGCATACGATGTAATTTCACTGCATTGCAATGCACTGCAGTGATGAATGGAATGTATGGAATGTATGCAATGTATGTATGTATGTACGTACGTACGTATGAATGAATGAATGTATGTATGTATATATGCATGTATGTGTGTGTATGTATGTATGTATGTATGTATGTATGTATGTATGTATGTATGTATGTATGTATGTATGTATGTATGTATGTATGTATGTATGTATGTATGTATGTATGTGTGTGTTTCTGCAATGTATGTAACGTATGTAATTTACGTAATTTATGTGATGTATGTGGTGTATATATTGTCGATCTTGTATGTATTGTCAGTATATCGCACCTCATGTATGTTTTGTGTGAAATGCATGTAATGCATGTAGGGTATGTAATGTATTTGATGGAAATCTATTTTTGTGTAATACATGTATTGCATATACGTGTTGTATGTAATGTATGTAATGTACGGCATGCAAGTACGTAAAGAAAACACTTATGTGTTTGGGTTTGGGAGGGTTGGGGCTGGGGTGGGCTGCGTAGTGGCGGCGATTCAGTTTCGGATGCCAGGTCTTGTGCAAAAGGGGATTTCCGAAGATAGGGGTACCCCTTGTATACCCCAAAATACTAGTAATCCTTCTGCAGGAGCCCCTTAAAACGGGCACCCTCTATTTCGGAACTAAATGAGTCGGGTTTACAGGGTTTGTGGGGGAGTTCCTGGCCATCCAGACTGGAGAATGCTTGCACGGGTCGGGCGTGGTCAATTTACATGAGATGTCCTACAGTCGATGTACCCTTGCACCTTTGCAAGAGGGTACATTGCGCAATAGTTAAGGTACATTTTTAAGGGTACAGAGGTTTCTCTAGGAGGTCGCTGAGTCCCCAACCCCTAAACCCTAAACCCTAAACCCTAAACCCCCTAGGCCAACATGCGATGCCCACGGCCAGCAGGACTAGTTTTTCCGTTTCCAGATCTGACGGGCCATCCCCAAGACACAAATGAGAGAAGCCCAGAGTCTCAAAACTGTCTCCAAAGCTTGAACACTCACCAACGGTTTAGGGTTTAGGGTTTAGGGTTTAGGGTTTCTGGGTAACCTAGGTAGGCCCGTGGGTCGTTTTTTAAACTAACTCTTAAACTCTAAAGCTCTGAAGCCCTAAGCCCCGAAACCCGTACTTGACGATTATAGTAGGGATTCTAAGGGATATTAGGTAGACCTACTAGGGCTTCTAAGTATAATCCCCAACCCTAAACCCGAAACCCTAAACCCTAAACCCTAAACCCTAAACCCTAAACCCTAAACCCTAAACCCTAAACCCTAAACCCTAAACCCTAAACCCTAAACCCTAAACCCTAAACCCTAAACCCTAAACCCTAACCCTAAACCCCTTAGAAGCCTGCCCTGCGCCCACACCTGAGGCGCCTTGCGCCAGGCGCCCCAGGCAAAGGCAAGGGAGGCCATTGCCGCGCCGCCTCTTTGTTGGGATTAGTGGTTTAGGGTTTAGGATGGTTTAGGGTTTAGGGTTTGGGGTTTAGGGTCTAGGGTCTAGGGTCTAGGGTCTAGGTTTAGGGTTTAGGGTTTAGTTTTTGTTTGCGGGGGATGGGGTGTGCTGGCGTCTTGGTGGCTTTGTTGAAGGGCTTTTGAGGGTTTTGGGGCGGATTTAAATGTTTGGGTTTTTGTGAAGTTGTCGAGCGGCCTGGGCACTCTGAGCAGGAAGTATAGCTTGATCATCTGGGCTACTGGATCTCTAGTTACTTGGGTCCCCAAGAGGCTTCTAGGGTCTAAGAGGGTTAAAGGGTATTCGATAGGGTTAGGGTGTTTTCAGAGCTTCGGGCTCTCAGATTCTGTGGGACTCCTTATTTGAAGTCTATAGAGTTTAGAGTTTACCCCCGGGAAACATGCTTTATCATGATAACTTTGTTTGCATCAGCATCAGACGTAGTATCAGAGCTACATTCGTCGAAGGCCCCAAAGCAAAAGACCTCAGCTACACTATTTGAAGTGCAATGACCTGATTTAAGCAAATGACGGTTCTGATTTGGCAATTGTCAGATAGAAGTACATATTTGCCATCTACCAAATTGGGTTTGAGTACCTCCTTCTGGTGTGTGGTCCTTTGTCTTCCGGTGTGGGGCTTGTAGGGTGTCCGGTTTGGGTTTGGATTGTCCGGGGCAAGGCGTTTCTGGGGTTTGAGCCTTGGTATTTTGGCTCCATTTGAGGGTTTCCAGGATACTTGGACGCGGTTTTGACTTTGTAAGTTGGATAAATAGTTGGGATTTCAGAGTAGACTGACTAAGTCAAAAGAGCTTCTAAGCAGGGAGGCCGTCTTCGGGGCCCTTCCATCATTGCAGCAATGTTTTGTAACCAGTACTGTAGAATAGAGAAGCCTTTTTTTGTTTTACTAGATTGCGAAATACAATATCTTGACCCACATCTCCACCACTTCTATCAATATTCACAAACAAGCCACAAACTATCGATGCCACCCTGCAATATCTTACCCTAAACCCTAAACCCTAAACCCTAAACCCTAAACCCGGCAACTCAGATCCGGGTCGCTTCGACCATTCTGGTTGACGACACCGAACCTGGCCGGCAAGAGTCGAGCTTGCTGGCCCTAAACCCTAAACCCTAAACCCTAAACCCTAAACCCTAAACCCTAAACCCTAAACCCTAAACCCTACGCCCCTTCGACAAGCCCGAGACCGGCAAGTCTTCACCACCTTGTGGAGCAAATGAACCCTAACCTTGGGCTTTAGGGTTTAGGGTTTAGGGTTTAGGGTTTAGGGTTTAGGGTTTAGGGTTTAGGGTTTAGGGTTTAGGGTTTAGGGTTTAGGATTTTTGTTCAGGGTTTAGGGTTGGGGGTTTTTGCGTCGTTCAGTCGTATACCCAAAACTACAATACTTGCTATCAAGGTATGTGAACCATAAACCCTCTTAGGGCGCATGTGGTCCCAAAGGAGCTGTCCTTTTCCAGAAGCAAGTTGTAGCCTCTTGTTCCCTTTGCTGTTGCAGTTTCGGGTTTATACAAGGAAGGGCACCCTTACCATACTAACTATGCTTAAGGGACTTACAACTTAAGTTAGGATCCATCTAACCCAATTTAGGGTCCATACAACTCTACTTATAACTATGGAGGGGGGCCTACCTGAAGAGGGTTTCGAACCCCACTAAGTTTCAGAGCGTATAGGGATCCCCACAGGCTGCTGTCGGGGTCTCTAGGATGGGGACACGCCATATTCAAGGAACCCCGGCGCCAAGTGAGCTCTTCAAGCCCAAGTCCGATCCAAACCCTAAACCCCGATACCCCGATACCCAGAAACCCTAAACCCTAAACCCTAAACCCTAAACCCTAAACCCTAAACCCTTCCCTGCTAGAAGCGATTGCCTCCGCTCCGACGGCTTTGCGCCGAAGATGTTGTGGAGGCTTGGACGACTTGCCTAGACGCTGAGGCGATCATAGTATACACCATGCAGTGCTTGTTGGGTAGCAGGTTTAGGGTTTAGGGTTTTGGGTTAAGGATCCAGAAGCTCAGATTGTGCCAGGTTAATGGCGTGGGCAAATCTGCTTGCCATGCTCGTGCTAACAGTGGCATCGATCATTAATTAGAAGCTCGCTGATGCTGCGGACGATGCCGAAAATGCATCTATCAACTGCAGCGTTTTGCAGATTTTGGCCAGTCTGCTGGGCACAGCGTGTGCCGTCAGCATGGACGGCAAGGGCCATCCTGCTTTCAGTCCGACTGTCCAGCCTCGCTGGCAATTACTGGCAGCTTGGATTTAGATGCTTGCCCGGTCTTATCTGCCAGCTCCGACAGAGACGATGATTTGAAAGTAGTCTATGTGTACATGTGGCGTGGAGCTCAACGAACAAGACCGTGGTCACCATCATAGTTCGGGACGTGCATCATTTCCCGAACCCTAGCAGCCGTTGCATGTACAGTCTCCTTGGCTTTGGCAAGCGACGTCCATGACAAGATGCCTTGCAGAGCCAGACAACTACTATTTGCCTCAGAGCCCTTAGACAATAAGTAAGAATAATCCCCTAATGCCCTTAGAAGAAAGAACATTTGCTCTTTTTTGGGGTTCTGACGCAATTAGTAGACCAGGCTTTATGGGCGGCAGACGCGTGAGTGACTCGTGCTAATGGACGTGGATGGAAAACTGTTCAGTCGCGTGCCTCCATGTCTGCTGGCCCAAAACCCTATTAAACCCTAAATCCTAAACCAGCCTAACGCCCTACACCCAGGCGACCATAACTTCGAGTACCGCCAACCCTGGGTGCGATTATGGTTTAGTTATGAACCATAAACCCATGTGAATGCCAAGGTACTGGGGTATCTGAGTTCCTGGGTAGCCCTAAACCCTAAACCCTAAACCCTAAACCCCCCAAAATACAGTGCCTGCATACCTGGGAGGATGCCGCATCTATCTGCCCTCCCTGCGCTGAAGGCTTCCGCGTCTGAGCCGCGTGGCTGAAACGCCCGCCCTAATCTCTATAAACCCTAAACCCTAAACCCTAAACCCCTAAACCCTAAACCCTAAACCAAACCCCAAACCCCTCAACCTTGGGAACCGAATGAAAGTGTTGGGTGCACTGGTCTACAGATCTGGCCCCTCCTAAACCCTAAACCCTAAACCCTAAACCCTAACGACAAACGGTGGGGCGAGAATGTGCCCTCAATCCCGGCCGTTTTGTTCGCCCAAGCCCGATCTCTTCGGCCCCAAAAAGAGCCCCAAATTCTAAACCCTAAGCCCTATAGATCCTAAACCCTAAACCCTAAACCCCAAACCCTAAACCCTAAACCCTAAACCCTAAACCCTGAACCCTGAACCCTAAACCCGAACCCTGAACCCTGATCCCTGAACCCCAATCCCATCATGGGCCCGCAGTCGATTTAAGTGTTCTGAGGTTTAGGGTTTAGGGTTTAGGGTTTAGGGTTTAGGGTTTAGGGTTTAGGGTTCTGCCTGTGCTTTTGGCTCAGGGGCCACCTTCGCCAGCTGCCCCTTGGCCTTGTTGTGGATGGTGTGGCAGCCTGCAGCTACTATTTGCAATAACTATTTGCTTAAGAGCCCTTTGAGAAAAATTAAGAATTCCGATATTGCCCTTATTAAGAAAGAGCATTTTTACTTTTTTGGGGGTTTCTTAAGCAACTAGTAGGAAGTCCCTCAAGTCCCTACACCCTGCAAGGAGGGGCCCCTAGAGTTGTAAGGGTCCTAAACTGAGGGGGGCGGTCCCTTGTGTCACGGCTGCGTTGCGGAGGTCTCTGACTAGAAGGTTGCTGCTGAGGAACCTGTGACCACACCCAAGTGACGCGATGCAGACGGGTGTAGCGTTGAGTTGTGGGCTTAGGAACCCTACACCCAACAATCTAGCCCTAAAACTAAACCCCAATTCACCCTGCACCCTACACCCTAAACCCTAAACCCTAAACCCTAAACCCTAAACCCTATAAACCCTAAACCCTCAACCAAGCCCAAGCCACAGGGTTGACCCGAGGTCGCACGGCTTGCCGCGCCAGCGGAAGGTTGACGCCCAATCAGGTCACCCATCATATTTGGGTTTAGGGTTTATGGTTTAGGGTTTAGGGTCTAGGGTTAGGTTTCTGTGGTTACAACATTACTATATTGTGATAGTATAGCATGTTCTAACCATTGCAGCTGTTAGTGAGATAACGGTAGCATCAGATCATCCGTTTGTGAGCTTACAGGCTTTGGAAGGATCTGGAGTTTAAGTCCTAAGTTATTTTGAGAACGGCCCCGATATGCTGGAATTCATGCAGGAATGCCTTTCCTCCATGCCGTCCTCTCCTTGACATCTTAGATTCCGGGCTGTCGCACCGTCAAACAGCCCAAAACTGCGAACCCTGAACGCGCACCCCTGCAAAGTCTCCAGCCCAAACCCGCGCGAGCTAAGAGTCCCGTTTCAGCACTTGTGTACATCGTGCCCTAAACCCTGAACTTATTCGGTCTCCGATCCTTCACTAAGAGGATAGGTTACAGGGTGGAATGAGATGAACCCTAAACCCTAAATCCTAAACCAATCCTAAACCCAAAGCCCTAAACCCGAAACCCTAAACCGCGTTTTGGGGCTCCGCAGCTCCAAGCCTGAAAGCCGCAACCCCCAAAATCCAAAGCGCCCTAAGAACCGAAGAACGTAAGAACCTAAGAACCGAAGAGAACCTAAGAGAACCGAAGAGAACCTAAGAGAACCTAAGAAAACCTAAGAACCTAAACCCGTAAAAACGAGCAAACCTAAAGTCCCAAGCACCCTCTTGCCATAAACCCTAAACCCTAAACCCGAATCAACACCCCCCCCAAATCCCTAAAAACCCAAAGCACCGTTGAGCCATCTCTTACCCTGAAGACCCTAAGTCCCCTAAACCCCCTAGGATTTACCTGAAGTCCCAAACACCCTCTTACCATAAACCCTGAACACCCCTAAATCCCGAAAAAAACCCAAAGCACCCTGAGCCATCTCTTACCCTAAACACCCCGAAATCCCTAAAAACCCAAAGCACCCGGAGCTATTTCTTCGCCACAGGTTTGGCCCTCTAGCGACTCGCCGAAGTCTGTGAGAACACCCTTATCCGGGGGGAGGGTTTAGGGTTTAGGGTTTAGGATTTAGGGTTTATAGGGTTTAGGGTTCGCCTTCCGTGGAAGATGTGGAGCCTTGTCGGGTTTAGGGTTTACAGGGTTTTTGATGCCGAATATGAATACGTGTTCCTCAAATGTACCCTCCCAAAATACTCGAATAAGGGTCAGAGGATGTTGAGCCAGTACATAGCGATCCACGCGAAGGCCGAGTCCTCACGTGCGTCTCGGCGCTCGATGCCTGTATCAATATACGTTCAAGTCCCCGTCAGGACCGAACGCCCCCCAACAATTGGGGTCACATTACCCTACACGACGATAACCCCGATGAAACCCCAAACGCTAAACCCTAAACCCTAACCTACAAGCCCGTTTCGGATTCGTTTGGTCCCCCAAGGTCCCGTGGTTCAAGTCGACAGCAGCACCTCCCACCCAAGCCCTAAACCCTAAACCCCTAAACCCACCAGTTCACGAATAAATGGTTGCTAAAGTAGATGGTTTGATTAGCCTATTCGTAGATTTCAGCATTACAGCAAGGATATGAATATTAACATATTGCTATATGCTAAAAAACTTCAATATATGCTGTTACTTAACACAATAATATATCAACATACTAAGACATTAGTATACAAATATATTGCTATCATGATACTGACCTCGGGCGACAAGGAAGTCGGAGCTCAAATCCTTTCCATTTGGGCCACCTTGGTAGAAGGTGCAACATCGTGGGGGCTCTAGAACTCGGGTTTAGGGTTTAGGGTTTAGGGTTTTTTCCAAGTCCAGACTGGGGCATGCAATCTCTCGAATTCGGTTCAACGGCCGGCCACGGCGTGTGCAAGTTTTCAGTGCGGGTGACCTGGCAAACCAACACCTGGCTACCGGCGAGGCTTCTTCGCACGACAGGATCCGTGAGAATTGGACATGGCAAAGCAACAGATGCAGGTATTGCTCGAAACACGGGAACCTCCCTCCCCCCCCCTCTTATTCCCATTCCGTGGTAGCACAGGAACCCCTCCTCCCCAAACGAAAGGTGCTCCCTGCGGATCTTGTTTCCAGTACCTGCGTGCCCATCAGCGGGCCGCACACCGAAGAGGGGAGGTGTTCTAGAGGTCCCTCAGAGGTATGGACCATGGGTTTAGGGTTTAGGGTTTAGGGTTTAGGGTTTAGGGTATATGACTCCCTATAAACGCTGAAACCCAGGAAACCTGCCTTCTGGTTGTCTTGGCTTTTAACCCTTAGACCCTATGCCCTAAACAGGAAACCTGCCTTATGGTTGTCTTGGCTTTTAACCCTGAAACCCTATGCCCTAAACAGGAAACCTGCCTTGCCAAGTTGTCTTGGGACGGGCTATGCAGAACAACTACCGAGCCTGCGATTGCGCGAAAAGGCTGGCTTGCGCTGTTGACTTCACTGATTCACGCGGAGCAGGAAGCCCAGTGAAGCCACTTCTGCCCCGTTGACGCCACTTGACTCTATAATGATAATGGTGCATGTATAAATACAAGGAGGGGCCCCCTTACTATACTAACTATAGTTAAGGGACTTATAACCTAAGTTAGGATCCTTATAACCCAGTTTAGGACCCTTATAACTCTACTTATAACTAGGGGGCCCTCCTTGTATGTGTATATACCGACTGAATCCTTCCCCCCCAAACTCTTAAAACCTCAGGTTAGCTTCAACCTCCAAGGGCCGTGTGACTCGAGCCGATGAGGTCTTTCCTCCTACCTAAGCTTTAGACTTTAACCCTGAATCCCTCGATGTCAAGCCCAACGACCCAAGTATTGAACACTGAAGCTTAAACCCTAAACCCTGAACCCTGAACCCTAAACCCCGAAGCCCTCAGCTTGAACCCGAAAGCCCCAAAAGCAAAACCCCTCAACCAAACGCAAGAACCTGAAGCCCTAAGCCCCGGAACTCGACAAACCAAAAACTCGAATGGCCGCAGCTGAACCCTAAACCCGAAGCCCTAAACCCCAAACCCTAAATCCTAAACCCTAAACCGCAGCAGCTGAAGCTGGCACAAGGTGAGGTTCTGAACATTCCCAAGCACGCCGGTGCACTGAAAACACACAGCGAATAGACTTTAGTACGAAGATTACGGTTACACAGCAAGATCCCAACCCCTAAGCCCTAACCCCTGAACCCTAAACCCTAAACCCTAAACCCATCCGCGGTCGTGGCGGCCTGTGCTGTGCTCTGCGCGTGCAGTGGCCGGCACTTCAGCTTCTCGGCGGTCCCTTGGGAGAATTTGTTTCTCCCACATTTGGGCAAATGATGCTCACATTCAGCAAAAAACCCTAAACCCTAAACCCTAAACTGCAAGCCCTAAACCCTAAACCCTAAACTGCAAGCCCTAAACCCTAAACCCTAAACCCTAAACCCTAAACTGCAAGCCCTAAACCCTAAACCCTAAACTGCAAGCCCTAAACCCTAAACCCTAAACTGCAAGCCCTAAACCCTAAGCCCTAAACCCCAAACCCTAAACCCTAAACCCCAAACCCTAAACCCTAAACCCTAAACTGCAAGCCCTAACCCTAAACCCCAAACCCTAAACCCTAAACCCCAAGCCCTAAACCCTTATTTGTCAGAGGATGTTAAGGGGCCATCCTTGGCTTTGGGCAGGCGAGATGACGAGCCGCGTGGCAGGCTGGAAGGGGCTGACGCTTCCGCAGAAGCTTGGCTTTCTTCATAGGGTTTAGGGTTTAGGGTTTAGGGTTTAGGGTTTAGGGTTTAGGGTTTAGGGTTTAGGGTTTAGGGCTTTGTTCTGGCTCTTAGGGCTTTAACCTTTTGGGTTGTTGAATCAAGCTACAATGAGGAGCCTAAAAGTTCGACTTTTAGGAGGGGTTCAGGAGTTAGCCAAGGAAGCTGATCTATAGCAGCGCGGTGGTCAACTTGGGCGTGCTCAGCTTCGTTTGGGTCAAACGCCAGATGAAGATGGCAGACAAGGAGCAGAAAGAAGTTGAGGAGCTGCAGGCTACCATGGCCGAAATCTCCACAGAAACTTGGAGTGAGAATAGCCGGTACAGGTGCTTCTTTGCGGCGCAGCAATACTACCTGCTGAACGCCAACGGCCCGGAGGAGGAGACCGATAAGGGAGCACGGCATTTGCTGGATGTGCTGGCGCAATGCAGGGAGGACCTGTACAAGAAGCTTACTTAGCCAATAGTTGAACTTTAAACTTTTTTTGGCTTTCTTGACTTAGTAGGAATACTGTAGCTTAACCTTTTTTCCTTTGGCTCTTGTAAGTAAGGAAAAGCTTTCCTGACTTAGTAGGAATCATGAAGTTTAACCTTTTTTCCTTTGGCTCTTGGAGAAGTAAGGAAAATCCCCAAGGACACGCCGGCCTCCCGACCGTCCTCCATGGCTTCGTAAAGAAGCAGCCAGTTTTGACAGCTTCGGTGGTTGAAGTTTAGGGTTTAGGGTTTAGGGTTTAGGGTTTAGGGTTTAGGGTTTAGGGTTTAGGGAAGCCGCAGAGGCACGGTTCAAATCAAGACAAACGCGAGGCAGAACAAAATGCAGACCGACGACCAGTGCACTGAGCCTTTCTTTGTTTTCTCCCCCACTTGCATTCTCACCCCCCCATAAAGCCGTAGCCCTCTCGGATGGGGAAGTACCACTTCAAAGACAGTAAGGCAAGCGAGCCCCAAAGGACGGCCAGCGCAGACAGCACTCCCTGACCTTGGGCACGAAGAGTCTACCCATTTCAATTGATGTGTCCCTCGTCAACCCCATACAAAGTTGTCACATTTCCATGGATACAGGTTTAGCAGAGCAGACTCTATACTAGGGTTTGGGGTTTAGGGTTTAGGGTACCCCCCCCTCGGGTCCCCCTTATAATTCAGGCCATTTAGGGATATCTAAGACAGATTGAGGTTGTTTAAGGGGGGAAACCTGTGTAGTATAGTGGGGGTAAGAGGGAAGCCCCCCCGCACATCAGTGCAAGCAGAGTCATCCCTCAGGGAAACCTGTATCTAATCATTATCTACTTGGGCTCCAAAGCGCCCATACGTACTTTGCGGCCCAAGTCGTGCCCGATTTTCTACTATTTGCTTAGGAACCCCCCCCCCCCCCCCCCGCCCCCACCAAAAAACGAAGCATAAGCAATTACGAAACAAATGCAACAAAATCTTCCTTACAAGGGCCATATAGGGGCCTTATAGGGATGTTTATTTCACATTGTTTCTTAGGGATACGACCTGGAAATAGTTTTTGTTTGTGCTATGATTCCTAAGAAACAGCAAAAATCAAAAAACAAATGCTACGGCTCCAAGTTCAGTATAGTTTTGAGGTTCTTAAGCAAACTTGTAGTTTAGCTACATGGACCCTTTAGGCCCGCCACCTGAGTTCACCTGGTGACCAACCGCTGGCTCGACAAAGCAGCAAGTAAACCCCGAAACCCCTTAAAGCCTGAACCCCTAAACCCTAAACCCTAAACCCTAAACCCCTAAACCCCTAAACCCCTAAACCCTAAACCCTAAACCCTAAGCCCTATACCCTAAACCCTAAACCCTAAACCCTAAACCCTAAACCCTAAACCCTAAACCCTAAGCCCTATACCAGCCCCTCTTCCAGGCGGCGCCTCGAAGTGGAAGGCTTCCTGTCCAGCCAGGGCCGACTCGAGGAGGTCGGCTTCACTTCTTTCTTTTGGTGGTTTAGGGCAGTAGGGTTTAGGGTTTAGGGTTTACGGTTTAGGGTTTAGGGTTTAGGGAGCCCTGAAGCAAAAAACGGGGTTTAGGGTTTCGGGTGTAGTGTTTAGGGATTAGAGGTTAGACTTGAAGCAAAACGGGGTTTGGGTGGAGTTGTAGGGTTTGGGGTTTAGGTTTGAGGGCGTTGAAGGGTCATAGGGGCTTCCTTCCTGGCTTTGGGGGCCGTTTAGAGTTTCCCCTAAACCCTACACCCTAAACACTAAACCTTTAGGTGGCTGTCAGGTCTTGGGGTTTTGTCGGGTGGTTTTTGAGACGCTTTAGGGTTTAGGGTTTTGGGTCACTTTCCCCCCCCCCCCCCCCGCCCCCCCAGAACCCCCAGAACCTAGAAGACACCCCCAGCTGAAGCAGATGTGCTGTGCATTGAAGCCTGTTAGGCTGAGGGCTCTTGGGTCTTGAGCTGGGCTTCATGTTTATTGTTTACAGTTTGGGGTTTAGAGGCTCTGTGGTGCTTTACTGTAACTTTAGATCCTTAGCCTCTTTGGGTTTATTGGGGTTCTTAATAAGGCAGCTAAAAGTTAAATTTATAGCTATCCTGCTAAGTGCAGCGAAGGAGGGTTATGTTGTCACAGGTTTGGGAGTGCGGGTTTTCAGTAGGGTGGCTCTCACGAAGCCGACGAGAGAATCCTGGCGGCCCCCCAATAAGCAGGAGCTCGCGCACGAGCGTCAGTGCGCCGGGCTCAGCGGGGCCTGCAGGCATTGAGGAACCTCTGTACTAGGGTAGAGGGTTTAGGGGTTCAGGGTTTAGTACCCGGCTGGCTGCAGAGACCTGGTTGCAAAAAAAGGGTGTAGGGGTTTAGGGCTTTAGGGTGTAGGTTTAAGGTTTAGGGTTCAGGGTTCAGGGTTTCTTCGGGTTTAGGGGGATGGACAGAAGGGAGAGGATTTTAGGGGTTAAGGGTTGAAGGTTTGGGGTTTGGGGAAAGTTTGGGGTTACGCAGTTGTAGGTTTGTGCGTAGTTTTAGGGCTCCAGCCTGAAACCAACTCTCAGATTCGATCGGGTAGACTTGGGACCAGAAGCGCATGTCCTGCAGCCCTGCAACAGGTGGCAAGAAGGCCACCCAAGCCTGAGCCCTAAACCCTAAACCCTAAACCCTGAGAGTGTTCATCCTGCTTGAAGCAACACATCCACCGAACAAAAGCCTTCCGTAATCATGGCACCTCAAGAGTGGCGAGTTGTGATAGAAAACCGGGTGCAGAACAAGTCGCCATGCCGCCGCTCTGAGAGGTAGGTGATGGTGCCCTTAAACTCGTACCCCTTTAGCCTTAAAGCCTTTCAGGGCTTAGACCTTTGTAAACCTTTCAACCCTCCCCTAAACCCTAAACCCTCAAACCCTAAACCCTAAACCCTAAAACCCTTGCAGTGCAGCTTGGCTTCTCACCACTCCTCTGTGGCACGCGCAGAAGCTTCCTGCGAAGTTTCCTCTGCTTGTAAACCCTAAACCCTAAACCCTAAACCCTAAACCCTAAACCCTAAACCCTAAACCCCCCAACTCTATTCTGCACTTTCTAAGGCCCCTAAGTCCCCTAAGTAGGTTATGCGTCGACTTGGAGCTGGGGTTAGAAGTACCCATGAACCTCCGAGTATGGACATGTGAAGGTTTAGGGTTTAGGGTTTAGGGTTTAGGGTTTAGGGTTTTTAGGGTTTAGGGTTTAGGGTTTCAAGACCTCTTTCTGCGAATCGAAGGAATTTATGCTGCAATGCCTTGGACCCCGCGCATCCATATTACCCTTAGCAGGAAGAATATTGTTGTTTTATAATAGCCCCTAAATTACCCTTATAACGAAGAATATTTATTTATTTTTTTATTTTTTTTTTTTTGGGGGGGGGGGGTTGTTAAGAAATTAATGATAGCCCCTATATTACCCTTATAAGGAAGAATATAGTTTTTGCATTTTTTTTTTTGGGGGGGGGGTTCTTAAGCAATTGGTAGAAGAGCTGAGGGCGGAGCAGCTTGGAGGAAGAGCTGGAGGCACAGCTTTTTGTTTAGGGACAAACATGTACTTCCAGCCCCGCTGGTAGGGGGCTTCGAATGGGAAGCCTAGAGCACAGGCATGCGCCCGGTAACAAGACATAGTCATGAGGATGCCCCCCCTTATGCTAACAGTCCTGAATAGGATTATTATAGGGGGTACTACAATCCGATCAAGGACTGTTAGTACAAGGGGGAACATCCCAACATGGTCAGTACACATGCTGAACACCACGTGTGGGAAGGTTCAGCAACGGCTGCGGCAGCAAGCAGAACAAGCCCTTCTCGAGGTTGGGCCACAAGGGAAACCTCTGCGAAGGAAGTGATCGACAGTATCTTGTTCGTTCAGCCATTCAGGCTTTGTCTGTCGCGGCCTAGCAAGCAGGGCCCCCCTCCCCCCCAGCTATAAGTAGAGTTGAAGGGGCCGTCAATTGGGTTGTAAGGATCCTGTCTTCGGTCATAAGTCCCTTAACTGTAAAGCTTGTACGGTGAGGGGGCCCCTCCTTGTCCTTGTAGGCAGCAAGGCGATTTGTTGGAGGCTCTTGCCTGAATCATGCAGGGGTTGTTGTTTTAAATGAAGGTCTCCTGTGGGGCCCTTCCTGAGGGTTCCAAAATCAACAAGATAGCTCCTTGGGTTGTGGCTGTCTTGGTGTATGTGCGAGGGCTTTAGTGTTTTGGGAAGTTCAGGGTTTAAGGTTTAGCGCCTAAACCCGAAATCTTCGGCAAAGGTTGAGAAGCGGCTCGAATCTGTTGAAGTTGAGCAGCGGAAGCTGTGCCGCGAGCCCAGAACCTGTGTCAACTTCGCCGATGGGCGACCCCTTGCAGCCAACAGGGTAGGGTTTGTAGGGTTTGGAGACCTTGTTCAAAGCCCAAACTATAGTTTAGGGACAGCTCCTAAAACGTGTAATTATCATGTGTCCCCTAGCAAGGCTCCGGGCATTTTGCATTTGAGAGGATCAGCAAATTTGAGAAAATTTTTTCTGAGTTACACTAGTCCGAAAAATAGTGCCGTTTGGGGCTTGGGGGTTCAGAAGGGGTTCAGGGTTTCAGGTTTAGAGTTTCGGGTTTTGGGTTAGGAGCTGAGGTGCTGTGGAGAGTGCCCGAGCGCAGGGCTGGACGGAGCCAGTGTCCCAGACGGAGGACAAGCCAGGTGTCGAAGCTGGGTTCGGGGTTTAGGGTTTAGGGTTTAGGGTTTACGGTTTAGGGTTTAGGGTTTAGGGTTTAGTTTAGGATTCTTAAATTTATGGAGCCTTTTGGGGGGTTTGGGGTTTCATTTTGGGTTTCGGGGGTTTGGGCTTATGTGGTCACTTCTCTAGATTTTGGGTACCCTTTTTTGGGTACCCCTAATATGAGGGGGCCGCCTTAGAGTAGTTCCCCCAGAAGCCACAAGTTGGAGAAATGACCATGGGATCTAGTGACTGATGATCTCGTTGGGCGGGTGTTCGGGTCACTTTAAAGCCTGCAAACGCAAAGGACCCCCTAAACCCTAAACCCTAAACCCTAAACCCTAAACCCTAAACCCTAAACCCTAAACCCCCAAGTAGCAGGCCGACAGACCCGCTCTGAGAGGCATGAATGATTTGTTGGGCCCACCGCTTCGCTGTCGCCTTGGCTGCTAAGGATCTCGCAGCTGCGTGAGGACTCAGGGCATTCAGGGCAGGGTCTTGCGGGAGTGCGCTGTGGGGTGGGTGGGGGATGG